GGTAAGGGCCTGTTATGATCCCTTACTCTAGACCAATTCTTTGATCATTGCATTTCAAATAGCCTCAAGCCAGTCTTAATCTTTAGGCTGTGGTTGATCAATTGTTGTAACACTGGATAGGGACTATATTTGATGCAAATACAGAAGCTTGTCGTTGTTCTCTTTACCTTTGAGTAGGGAATCTTTATTCGTAGCACTTGCTTTGTTGTGAAGTTCCAGGTGCTTCAAACTTTGATTAATGAAAGCATTTTGTTATTGCTCCAGTTTTAGCCCCGAATGTGGGTTTAGGAGCTGTTTAGACTATTACAGACACAGGCTACACATCATAGCCTCCTTTTTGAGGAGACACGTGATCCAGCACGTGATCCCATTTTGTTTCCAACTGTTACATTTTGGGAGCCATAGGCTCAAGCCTTTAATCACCAGTCTGCAGGCTACTCCTGAAAGTCTCTGTCCCTCATGCTGTCTCTGTTTATCCCATTCTCAAGTACAGTCCCTAGTTTTTAAAGTCCCTTTTGTAGATTTTTTTTTAAGCAATAGTTAATGTTCATACCAGTAATACATTTATTAACACAAAATCTTAAAATGTAAATAATATAATAACTATTACCTAGCAAAAAACATTTTAGAAAATACCCTTTCAGATTTTTCCTTTGCTTATCTCCTTCCCTCCCTCCCTCCCTTAGTTCCTTCCTTCCTCCTCACTTCATTCCCTCCCTGCCTCTCTTCCTTTCTTCCCATTCATGCATTCATTCTTATGTTTAAAACATGGCATTATTTATGTGCAAACTTATTGTAACTTGCTTTGGTAATGTTGCCACATAATTTTAATAGCCAGTATATAGAATTCTATTTCATGGGAATTGTCTTTTGTTATAAAAAGATTACAACAATTGTTTATATAATCTTTTGCTACTGGGTAAATTATTTCTAATTTCTGTCTGCTATAAACATTTCTGTGATAAACCACATTCATTCATTCATTAAACAAATATTTATTGAGCTGATACCATGTATCAGGTTCTGGGGTGACAACAGTGTTAGAGACAATATATTTTCTATCTTCCTATGTTCCTATGACAAATAAAACAAAATCATTTAAATTTAATTTGCAGTAACAACATTTGCTTTTGCTGAGACATTATTATCAGTTACAATATCAGTGCTTCTGATTATTATTTTCAAGGTTATTAAGAGATTTTATATAAATCATACAATAATTCAGACCCTGAAATAAAAGTATGTACTCACAGAGCATCTGTAGTCTACATTAATTTAATTGAAGAGTGATACAGCAATTGTATTATCTGACTCCCTCCACAGCCAGAGTGGACCAGAAATATTAGACTAATGCACCGAATTTATCTTTCCATTGATTTTTATTTTAGTGCTCTTTTGTGATTTTGATATATACAGAGGTTTCTGCTCATAGCCACCAGGTAGATGGAGACAGTGTGACATTATTATATATGAAACATTGGCTCTGAGCCAGGGATCCTCGATATGAAATTGAATTCAACTACTTACTAGCTGTTTGACCTTTGGAGGTTACAAATATCCCTGAGCTTCAGTTTTCTACTCTGCAAAATGAGAACATATTATTAGATAATTTCTAATTTTCAATTTAGCAATTATGAGCTGTGGGTTTTTCATTGTTTCTATTGGAAGCTGCTACTGAAATGGTGTGGGGCACTTATGAATATTGATTCAATCTATCAGAGCTAACATAAGAGATACAGATGAAAAACATAATAAATGTAATGGAAGTTTTGAGTCAAAGAATGTTTTGGCATATACAATTTGAAGGATTATTCTCACTAATAATGTGTTTGAATAGACTGTAGAAAGTCAAATGTAGAAATGGAAAGACCAATTGAAAAGCAATAGATGCAGTGAGTGCATTTGAAACATAGATTATGGTGATGTCACTGAAAAATGGTGAGAAATAGTGACATCCTGCCTCTATTTTGAAGGTAAAACTGATTGGATGTGTTGATGACTAAGCTGTAGGGTGAGAGGCAAAGAGATATTCAGGATCACTCTACAGTTTTAGACCTGAGCAAATAGATAAGTGGTTGTCAATTGAGTTGGAGGATATTGAGGGAGCAAATGTTTTCATGGAGGTTGAAGCAGGGGGTGGCCAGCATTTTGGCTTTGTACATGCTGTGTGAATTGCCTGTTAGCCATGTTGGATGGAGATGTTCATGTGTGGACTTGGATATATCAGTCTAAAACTCAGGAGAGAAGTCAGAGAGGCAACTTAAATTTGGGGCTTAGCAGGATTCACTAAGAGATATTAAACAAGGCAGCTGATCTTGCTCTCCTTCAATTTAGATAATCATCTATATGGTTTATGATCTTTTTTTAAAGATTTATTTATGCATACAAGAACTGGGGTGTAAGCCAGAGGTGCGGGGTGGGGGGGGTGAGAGGATTCACCAGAGAGAGTGAGGAGCAGAACAGGCAGATCTACTGTAATACACTGCTGAGGGGAGCAGTGGGTAAGGCAGGAGAGGCCTGCTGTGCCATGTGGATTGCTCCCTGGCCAGCCAGGGATCGAACTTGTGCTGCAGTGGCTGGTGATAGCTTGATAGTGCTGTCTTTAATCCCTGTGCCACCAAGAAGGCCCCTTGTTTGGGATCTTTTTGTAAAAAATAAATGAGATAATACAAATTCCAGAAAGTTTTTAGCACACTGAACTTATAGAATAAGTGTATAGTAGACATTAACTCTTCCTTCTCTTCATTATAATGATAGGTAGATGGATAGACAGAGGAGTAGATTGGTGATGAATTAATTAACTGGTGTGAACACTTGTAAGACTCAAGTGAGAGGTTTAGCCCATCTTGGAGACCATGAAGAAAATGAGTATTCATCTGACTTCTTTGGTGTAGTTTGTGGAGAATATAGGAGACAAGACAGATCCTATAACATATTTAACTAGTGGTTGGATTAATATGGTTATCAATTTTACTTTCCAAGGAAAACAAGCCATGAATCCCACGATCCATATTATCATGACTCACTGTGCCAACCCTAATCTTTGTGATTGAAGTGCAGTTCTGACCTTCTTGCCTAGATGGAAATGTTAACTAGAAAAAGACTTGTGTAGTCCTTGAGATGCTCAAAGAATCTTTTCAATAATTCAGCCAGCTGTATTTACATGGTCCCTCAATGTCTGGGCAAGGACTTGTTAGGGACAAAGGATAAAATATTAAAGAGAGAAATATAAACAATCCTAGCTTGAATTGCAATTTCTATGTTTATGACTCTCAGAAGCTATTATATGTGTGATAACTGAAAATGAAATTGGCTGGCTGACCTCCTAAGACCCCCTCTTAAACACTAAGTGAATATTTCACCATAATGACCAAGACATTGCAGTTGAGGTTAGCAACCTGAGCCTGTCTGTGCACTAAGAACTCCTTAATTCATTCAATCACCAAAGCTGTGAAGAGCAATTAATATGAGCCAGATAGCAGGCTAGCTGAGAATTGCAGCATTTTGGGAGTTGTGATGGCTGAGTTCTCATTGGTTGATAAGTCAAATCTTCTTTCCAGTATACTAAACAAATCTCAACGAGACATATGTTTCATTAAAAAAAAACCACACATTTATTTTTAGATATTTGTAGACTCATATACTGAGATATACTGTGTACCTTTTATCCGTTTTCCCCCAATGGTAACATCTTGCAAAGCTTTAGTTAGAATCACTGACAAGATGTTGATAATTCAGGTTTTTATTATGATTTGGAGTCTTAAGATTTTAATAAGCCAGAAGGAAAAAGATAAATATCGGATGGATTCATTTGTATGTGGAATATAGAGAAACCAAACAAAAGGTCAAGAAAAAGACAAAACTAACAAGCTGACAATAGATCTGAGGCCTCCAGCAAGGTAAAGGGAGGGAGGGTGGTCAAAAAAAAAAAAAAAAAAACAGGGGAGGGAAGAACAGAGGGGAATATGGTGATGGTTCATGTGTAATATATTGGCAAGAGAATTATGGGGCCTACACCTGAGAAGAGAAACCCATTACTGCACAAAATGAACAACACTATAAGAAAAAAAAAACCCACAACCTTTTATTGTTACCACAAAATATACATTAGTATCATATCAGACAGAGGTAGCTAACAGAAGAATTTCAGGGTTCAGGGAAGGAAGGATGAAGTTGAGACAGGTCATTTTAGGGAATAAAACTGTTCTGTGTGACAAAGTCTTGGTGATAAGGGCATGATGTCAGGGTCACAACCCACTGACAGTACACATAGGAGTGACCCCAACAGCATACTCTGGGCTTCAGCTGAGAAGATGTCACAGCACTAACACCTCCTGCAGAGAAGGAATGTCATGGCCTGACAGACTGTAGGTGAGCTATGTACCAAGTGGACCAGAGTGACCTGACCCCAGTCACCATCAGCCTGCCCACTGCCCCAATGCACAGAGTAAGCAGCATCATTTTCTCTGCATGAGAAGAGCAAGGCGGGGGCAGAGGGGTTTTCTAGAACCCACTGCCATCCTTTCCTCCAGCCTCACAGTGATGAGCCCTGGTTGCCAGGCAGCTGTTTGATTTGGAGACAGAACTTTCCACTGTGTTCTGTGTTGTCCATTAGACCTACAGGATACTAGCAAATGGTGGCTGAACACAGAGAGCAAAGGGATGTGTTTGCCTGAAACAGGGTCAGTCGGGACAGGAGAACGGTATACCAGGATAGGCTGGAATGCCCCCCCCCACCTGCCTGGGCTCTAAAACAAGAGAGCTGCCAAAAAATCCCCAAGAGGCCAGAAACCAAAACCAAGGGCTATAAGAATACAATAGGGGCCTATGGGCTGTAGCCAAACAAAGGGCAGTTACTGATAAGAGGACAGGTCACTGTCTGTGGGTTCTCACCTGTGTGCACAATTGCAAGAGACCTCAGTCTCCAGGAACAACCATCATGGGGTTTATTTTACAAACAGGGCAAATAAAGAGCTTACTGCAGCCATAAGAACACTCACCCTGATAGTGTCCCCCAGAAGTACAAGCAGTGTACTTGTCACCTGTCACCAGGAGTGCCGGACAGCACTGCCTAGTAGTGACAGTCACTACTGGTCCCCCTGAAGCCATGTCAGAGACACCAAGTGAAACAGGTCTTTGAGATACCAGGCCTGGAGCCTCCTAGGAGGTCAGCTACTGGATGCTTTGCTGCTTCTTTCTTCTTTCAATCATAGTTCTTTTCTTGGAGACCAGGAGTGAGTCTTCCCCTGCTTTCTTTGCAGCTGGAACAGTGTCTTCTTCAGCTCCTCCTTATGCTGGCTAATAGCCTCTTTTGGGGTGCCACACCACACAGCTGAATGGACCATTTAGCACCACTCAGCTCAAAGCTCACACCTGATTGGTCTGTTCCACAATCCAGGAAGTAAAAGGGCAGTTGCTGGGCTCTGAGGCGCAACTGCCATAACTGATTCGTGGTGCAGCAGCGGGGTCAGAGAATACCACTGCTGCTAAGGTGGGTGGGTTCTAGTAATATACACCGCCGGTCCTGCCGCAGGTCTGGGCTGCTCTGCTGCTGTGATGTGACTGTATGAGACAGGTGCCAGGACTCCTTGAAGTTTCCTGGCAGATCCTGCTTTGCACTGCTCTCCTGGATTTGACATTAAAGATTGGACAGGGTTTAAGAAGAGGGAAAGAACTTTCAGGAATGCAACCTGGTTTTGAAGAATGCCCTGAGCAGGAGGCACAAGTCCCTGAAGCCCTCCTGGTACCTGTGGGAAGCCTACTCCACCCACATTACAAATTCTCAATCTGGTCACACTGAAACTTGCACTAGAAATATCCACTCTCCAAACTCAGAAGACTCACCTGCAGACTGAAAATTACCAAGTGGATGGAAAGATCCAAGCACTCCAGTTGCAGCTTCAAGATGGGACTGAATCATATGAAAAACAAGTCCTGGAGCTGGAGAGGTTGAGGGCCGAGGACGAGGCACAGTGCCTGAACATCATAAAGAAACTTCTCAGCACCTGCTCAGGCCTGGACTCCACCCTTCAGGTTTGAGACCTCTACAGGGAGGTAGCCCAGACCCGGAGCAGAGAGCTACTGAAAGCCACTACCTCCCATCTCGAGGAGCTATGCCTATAGGAGAAGAGGGCCAGGAGAGCCAGAAGGCAAGGAGGAGAGCTTGCAGGAGCTGAAGAGAGGAAATGCAAACCTCGGGCAGAAGCTGGCCAGATAGGAGGCCAACTTCCATCCTTTGCCCCATGGACCTGGTGCTCCTGGGGCTTCCACCCTCCCAGAGGCCTTGTACTGCCAGGGGTTTTTCTGGATCCAGCTGTGGTGGAGCCTGGGGGCTGGGTTCCATGCAGATTTGACCCACCCCCACACCAGGTGCTGACACCCACACAGTCTGAGCTGTGTCTGCAGCACAATTTGAGTCCTGTATTCACTTGATCTTCTCGTTGATGCCTCATAGTTCCTATTGTAGTTTGATAATTTTAAGATTGTATTTTAAAAATGTTGACTATAAATAAAACATTGAAATATGTGCAAAATAAAAGATTTGAATAATTGGAATTGCTATTGTAAGATTTGAAACCGTAATTCTAAAGACATAAAAACATCATCGCTAATGCTCTTTTCCCTGTTTCGCGTTCTGTTATTCCCCTACAACTGTGACCCTGTGGGTTGGAATAGGTCTTCTGTCTGTGCTCTAGTGGACCTGTACTACTTCTTTTATGACATTCAGCTCACTAGTCATTGCTCCTTCAGTGTCAGCTTTCCTTTGTGATTATAACCTTAGAGGGCAAAAACAACATCTGCTATTCACTGTTTCTATGGCATCTGGTAAATAATTTGGCACCAAGAAAGCCTGGATAGTTTTATTAGCATAAGAAAATCAATTAGTCTACCCAGGGATAGATCAGAGTAAAACTAAAAGAGTGGTGATGCCGCTGACAATCCAAGTCAGTAAGACTTCTTCTGAGCCCAAATCTGTCCTCTTTAGAAAGATTTCCGGTAACAGGCAACAATCAAAATACATATGTGTTTTAACATATACAGGAAAGTTATTATCTTTCTACACTCCAATCTGAGTTAAATGGTATCAGCCAACTACTAAAATGTATTGTAATCAATCCTGAAAAAAAGAATCCATTCCAGAATAGCTTTCTTGATCAAGAATACTTTTTTGGTTCTCTAATCAGATGGACAACTTGGCAGACTCTTGAATAACAATATAACTTAATGCTTCCTAAACCCTCATTTTGATCACCCAGGACACCCTTAGGCTTCTCTCTAGGGATGATGGAACATTGATAATTGGGCATTTTAAATAGCTTGGCAGGTTATCTGAAACAGTCTAACAAGGAAGTAAACCCTAATGCCTAGCTCTGAGAACATATGGTATGTCTTAGAAGTTTTCCATTGAAAAATTTTGCATTTTGGACTCTGGAGTCACTGGTTGACTTTCTATGCACTCTAATTTCTTTACTGCTCTGAACCATAAAATTTAACTTAATTATCAGTGTCTGATTTGAGACCTTCCAGTATTTTTCTGTCAGATAGTTGCTTTGTTTTCTTTCTCTTTTTTTTTTTTTTTTTTTTTAGCACTGATCCATCATTTGGGAAAAAAAAAAAAAAACATAGATGTGGTATCTTTAGAGGTTTTTTTTTTTTTTCCTAAATTAAGGAACAGGAGAAAGATCAGTAAGCAGATCAATGAATTAAATAGTTATCAGTTTTGATGAACCACTGCAAGTGGCTGAAAAAATTAACACAGTGAGGAAGAGAAAAGTGTCCTTAACAGGAGCTGGCCTCAAATACACAGTTGGGCTTGAGCTTCCTTAAGGTGAATATCAGTGTTTCACAGAACATCAGCATCAGGCAAGACCTTTCTGTGATTATAACTGATCAAGACAATGACTCTAATCTTTATTGAACACAAAAATATGAACATTGTCCATACCACAAAGATGGCCAAATGTCTTCTTATCATAGTTATAGAAGTGACCACCGTGCTTTACCAGTTTTAGCCTTACACTGGGCTCTTATCCTGTAAGTAAGAATAATTAAAAACCCCATCATTGAATTATTCCAACAGAGTGTCCAATATTAAGACCCATTTTCTTGAACTAGTCTCCAAATCACCTTCTCCCAAATCTTATAAGTCCTTTCTTACCTCACCCCACTCTTAGCATGGTGCTCCAAATGTTACAAGCTCTTACTTCTTGTACTAAGTCAATAAATCCATCATTGTTTATTTCAAATTCAGAGAAGGTGAAAATTCTGAATTGAGGGTGTTGATGAATGAAAAACACTTATTCCTGATGTCTAAAGATTTCATCACTGAATTTGAGTCAATATTTAGAACAAAATCTATTAAAATAGTGGTACTTAGGGCCTCCCTGGTGGTGCAAGGGGTTAAGCACCACACTGTGAAGCAATCTGCCACCTCGCCAGCATGAGTTCGATCCCCGGCCGGCCAGGAAACAACCCACATGGCGCAGCAGACCTCTCCTGACTTGCCTGCTTCTCCCCTCAACAGTGTACTTCGGTCAATCTGCCTGATCTGTTCCCCACTCTGTCTCTGGTGAATCCTCTCACTCCCTGCATCTCTGGCCTGTACCCCAATTCTTGTATGCATAGATAAATCTTTAAAAAAATAGTGGTACTCAGAGAGGAAAGAGCAGATGGAGATCAGCATATGATTTGGGGAGAGGCTTGCATGAGTGAAGGTAGATGATGTGAAGAATAGAGACCAACTTATTCAAAGATTTCAACTTTTTTAAAGATGAATTTTAGACCAATGATATTAATCTTGTGACACATGGGCCAAAAAAGAAGGAAATTGAGCCATGCTCTGCCAGCAAATTCTTCCTTCTTTACACAGGTAAATCTTTCAAGGGGCTTATTAAGCTGTTTTCTTCAAAGAGCATATAGATACATCAACAAGCAAAAGAACACTTCTTCCTTCCAACAAGCAGCTCTCAGAAGTCATAAACAGAAACTCTTAATATCTGGACACCTACCAGAATAGCAATTGGACTCCCCAAATGTGCCAGTATAATATCAGCTGGCTCCACTTGCATATAGAATAAGGCAGGATAAATGATAACAGCTGAGTCAGTAGCCCTTTTAACCAGAGATCAAGATTTATCCACTTCAACTCAGATAGCTTTATTGTCTCTGCCTGAACAAGACAGGGAATAGCTTAATTTTACATATTTCATTCACTGCCAGTTTTATTTATCAAATTATTTTTATTGAGGTGACCTTGGTACAACAGTTTATATTTTTATTTTAACATTTATCATATTTTTTTACATTTTTAGACAATATTTGCTTCCCCCCACCCCCTCAGATTGAGTCCCCATAGAATTTCCATCCCCAAGGCACCCATGCACCATCACCATAGTCCCCTGTGCTCCTCCCTCCCTCCCTTTCACCCCTTTCCTTCCTCCTCCCCTGCAGGATGTCTCTGGTTTACAATAGTCTGTTTTTGCTTTGTTGTGTTTTCTATGGTTATTATTTTTTTTACACTGATGTCTTCTTTGGTTCCCCTATATTCCTGTTATAAGTGAAACCATCCAATATTTTTCTTTTTCCTCCTGGCTTATTTCATTAGGCATAATTCCTTCTAGCTCCATCTATGTTGCTGCGAATGGCATGAGTTTATCTTTTTGATTGCTGAATAATATTCCATTGCGTATGGTCCACCCACTGTGGAAAGTTGTCTGGAGGTTCCTCAATCTACTAAAAATGGAGCTACCATATGATCCGGCAATTCCATTACTAGGGATCTACCCAAAGGACACAAAAACAGTGATTCAAAAGAACACCCGTACACCTATGTTTATTGCAGTGCTATTTACAATAGGTAAAACCTGGAAACAACCCAAATGCCCAAAAATAGATGACTGGATCAAAAGTTTATATTTTAGTAGTATAGCATCATACCTCTTCAAATGTATGTTATCAGAACATACCCATCATCAGTACCCCCCATCATAGTCCACTGGACCCCCTCTCCTCTTTGCTTCTCATCCTGCTTCTTTCCCTCTGGTAGCCTCAGTTCTACCCATTGCTAGTTTTAAACAGTCTGTTTTAGATGAACTCAATATTTTGGATAACATTCATAAGTTCATTGTTGGAAATCGAAAGTGTCCTTCCTCAAAAAATCCAAGATAGCATCAAGTGTAGAAAAAAGTTTTTGTATACTCATGGTGTAGAGAGTAAAAAGCTGGAGTATGTGTGAGTAATTGGATATCACCTGGGTTCTTATTTGCCAGCATTGAGATTATTGTAGTGCAACCTGTTCACA